CAGCAATGTAGAAAAGAAGATCCCAAACAACACAACCCTACATCAGAACACAACTCTGCTTCATTCCACTTGTAGCAAGAAACCTTTTTGCCTTCCCCCCCTCAAATGTGAAGCTCCTCCATATGGCAAAGGCCCCTTTTGCAATAGGTTCCCCCTTTTGGGGATGCTTTCTCTTTTCTACCTTTCTCTCTCTTTTTCTTTTATTACATTATTATTATTTTATATAAAGTGTACTTGTAGTGAAAATAGAGCTTGTAGATGCTTTTACAAATGTACTTTAAAAGTAAGTTGTACCATGTAACAATGTTAGTAAGGGCAGGAATCTCTGTATGGAGCGGGTCCCTGAATGAATCATGGTTGACTGGGTAGCTAGTTTGGATAAGCAAGTTAAGAAGCAGCAATTAACACTTACATACCACAGATTAAGGAGAGGAAAGAATCAATACAAAGCCAGGAACTCCCTGAAACTTCACTGTTAAAGGTACAGAAGCCCCAGTTTGAACTAATCAACGCTAGAAACAGACCGTTGGGGCTGAAATACCCCCTGATCAACCACTTCCAGAGTTCTCTTCAGCACAGCAGTGAATCAATCAAAATTCATCAATGGACTCCCGAGACTGCACATACCTGAGGACGTGACCCCGGGAGCTGACAGCTGCCATCCAGCAGCTAGCAAGAGGGACGTCCCTCGAGGTCAATGACCCCTGGATTAGGTAAGCCTGAGAATTGGGGAGTCACCAAAGTCTGCCAGGGAAGGATAAAAGGCAGTGAAGAATGACCCCCAATGGTGCCCTCTTTGACCTGACCAGCACTCTGCCTGTTCAGAGCCAGAAGGACTAACCGGTGACCCCCTTCTGAAGCAACATCACACTAAAAGAAGCCTCGACTGGCCATCAACAGTGGACTCCAGCACTTGGGGATAGGTATATCTTGACACCAGTGTGCAAGTTGTTCATAGCACGTGTGCTTTTGAGGGGATCAGCGCCAAGGTTTATGGTCTAACTTCTGCATCCGTCCATAGACTAGAATTTTATGATGATCCTGTGAGTTGGTCCTTTGTAGCCAACACACTCTACATTACAAACCTGTCAGAAGCCGATCCATCAAACCGAACTGTGGCTTGCATGTTTTCATGGAAGGAGCATATTATTCTGAGTAATGTTGGAGGGCATCCAATCTTTACCAGGACCTTGAACAAACCTGCTCTGACAGTGTCAAAGGCTTTCGTCAAGTCAACAAATACTACACCCAGTGGTTTATTTTGTTCTCTGCATTTTTCTTGCATTTGGCATAAGGAAAATATACCCACTGTTGATGTCCCTGTGTTGAACCCACAATGTGATTCCAGACAGATGCAGTTAGCAATTTGTAGCAAACTTTTCAAAATGATTCTGGCTAAAGCCTTGCCTGCAATGCTGGTGAGAGAGATGACCCTATTGTTGTAGAGTGACATTAACATCATGCATGTCCTAGGGTACTTGACCTTCCTTACAGCAGCACACTTGGAGTTGATGAAGATGTGGTAGCAGGCTAGCAGGTAGATGTGGCTAGCCTTCCCACACTTGAGGACCTGAGCTGGGATGCCATCCTCCCCAGCTGGTTTTCTGCTTGCTAGAGAGTCTGTGGCCTTGCTAAGTTCTTCGGCTGTAGGTTCTTTATCTAGCTGTGCCATACACTTAGAGTTGGAACTTGATCCAGTGCCTCTTCTGAAATGTCTGTTTCATGGGAGTAAAGCTCTAAGAAATGTTCGACCCAACATAACATCTTCTCGTTCTTGTCAGTGATTTTTACTTTGCCATCTCACGACTTGAGCGGGTGACTTTAGTGACACTTGGGCCAAGGGCTTTCTTCAAGCTGTCATACATAACTCACAGGTTTACAGTTTGTCTGAGGCAAACTGCATCTCTTGACCTAGGTCAGTCCAGTACTGGTTTGCACAGCATCTGGCTGATTTCTATACCACTGCCCTGGCATGTTTCAGCTTAGCCTTGGAACTTTCTGCTGGATTCTGGTTGCGTTTCAGATAGGTTGTATTCTTGGCTTCAACAAGCGGTGGCATCTCTTCCAAGTGTGCCTCAAACCAGTCTTTATTTGACAATTTCTTTTTCCCAAATACTTTTGTTGGCTGTTTCCTGGATGACTGCTCTTAGTCCGCTCCAAGTTTCTTTGGCATTTGTAGTTGTTGCTTTCATTGATACAGCTAGCTCAAAGGTCCTTTAAAAGCCGAGATACTTGCTTTGGACTTTTATGCTGTATGTGTTAACTCTTGGTTGACTTATATGCTTGGCCCTATGCAGCTTCTTTTGTATTACTTTCACTTTGCTGACAATAAAGGAGTGAGTGGTCTGTGTCACAATCTGCAGTGATAAGCACGAGTGAGTAGTACACTGGACAGGTCTTTCCTCCTGGTGAACACGAGGTGTAACTGATGCCAGTGGCCAGACTGTGGGTGTCTCCCTGATACTTTTTGATACTCTTTGCCCACAAAGTAGGTGTTAATGATACGTAGGCGGTTTAAGATGCAGACTTCAAGACGACACTGGCCATTTTCATTCATTTATCTGATGTCATGATGTCCCAGGCCAAGAGCTGCAATCTGTGCCTACTCAAGCATTAAAGATATGCTGTAGATATACCATATGAACAATTCCAGTCTTTTCTAGTAAGAAGAAATCAGCACATTCAGTAGCAAAGGAGGACTTCAATCATTTTTAAGATAATAATATAGCTATCTTTTAGGAAATTTTTGATTGTATCTATACCTCTAACATAATACTGATATGCCTCCTCACACCAGAAAACAATAGTATAACTGATTTCCATACAACATAGATGGTTTGTCCATAGACTTACATAGATAATTTTGTCCCTTAAAACTAGTATCCTGACATAAAGGTCAACTTTGATAAAATGTTAGTAATCTATATGGCTTGCAGAAATAATACACAAACAATCCACGAAATAACATAAAACAAATAAAACTCACCTTGACAACGCTGGCTTTGTGCCTTTCCAAAACTTGTAAAGTTTGGGCAGTGTAGGAATCAACTACTAGTACAAGGGAATGACATCCATATGCAATCAAACCTTGCCAGCCCCTAGAAAAAGAAAAATATTAGTACCAAACAAGGGAAGGGATGATATCAGCATGTGCATACTTTACTTGAATTCACAACTAAAATATGCTGTAAGCTTAACTTTACATGATCTAACTTTACAAACCTTTCTATAGTTGGACAAGAATTCTGTAATCAACAACCTGACGATACACACAAGTAAAAAAACTGCTAAATTACAACTATAGTAGCATAGCCATAGGCCATTTGCAACTGTCTATACCCCTTTTTTTTTTTAAATATCTGTACCATTAAAATACTGTGTGAACTTGACTGCATAGTCTTAATTGTTGTTTCCCTCTTCCTTCCACTTTGTCCCTCTGTTGTATTATTTTTACATTAAAAGCAGTTGGGAGAAAGGACCACGCTTTTTTGATTGTATAATATCAAGCACGTTGCACATACACTGGAAACTAAAAAAAAGTAAGGGCCACCCAGTGAAGCCTGAAAGCATTATAAAATTCAATTTCAGCACTCTACAATGAATCATTTTCAAATGACAAGTCAAAGGGGGGCTAGCATAAAGTCAGAAACCATTTAAATTTTAAAAAACGACAGTTCGGACCAGCTACAACATCAATAAACAAGCGACAGTAACAAGATAATAGTTAACAAGATAATATCATTGTTCAGACACAGTGAGGTGTTATGGGATCAAGAAGGAGGGTGAGGAAGGAACACATTAAAAAGGAGTTTAGCAGTAATGAAAAGGATCAACCTATCTGATCTCAGAAGAGACTGACATTAGAGGTACATCGATATATTGGTGCCATATCAAATCGACACAGATAAAAAGGAAAATTAAATGAACAGCTATAGACTTTTTTTGGCCGGTGTAGTCAATAAGGTACCAATAAACAATATGCCTTCCAGCTGGGACCCCCACACAGCCACAGCATGCACAGCCAGGCAGTGTGGAGACTAGTGCCCTACAGGTAAGTCTGTGAAGGGGAAGGGGCATGGGGGATGCAAACTGAATGAGTTAGGGAGTGGGGCAGGGGCAGGGGCAGGGCAGTGAACAGGACCCCAGGGGCAGGGCAGGAGGCAGGACAGAGCAGCAGGAAGCTCGTTCAGGGGATCAGCACCCTGGCACTTAAAAATGGTAGTGGGGGTGCTTGAACTTAAGCTCATCGAATGAGCACCACCACCACCATTTTTAAGTACCAGAACGCTTTTAGAAGTGGAGCCAAGTGGAGCAAGGACTGAGGCGGGCTGCCCCCTGTGGGCTTGGAGCTCTCCGCCCTGCTGCCTTTGCCCCAGGAGCCGCGCACTGGCTGCACGACCCCTGCTCGTCTGGCAGCAGGAGGCACAGATTGCCACCACCACTGCAAGATGGGCAGGGGACAAGTGGCCAGCACGCAGCTCCTGGGGCAAAGGCAGCAGGGTGGAAAGCCCCTAGCCCATAGGGGGCATCCTGTTTCCACTCTTGCCCTGCTCAGCTCGGCTCAGCTCCTAAAAGCATCCTGGCACTTAAAAATGGTGGCAAGGGTGCTTGAACTAAAGCTCACTTGATGAGCTTCAGTTCAAGCACCCTCACCACCATTTTTAAGCTCCAGGATGCTGATGCCCTGGATGAACCACCCATGGTTGCATCCCACTCCCCACCCCACCCCAGCCCCAGGGTCCCATTCACCACCTTGCCCCACTCCCTCCCTCACTATGGAAGCCTCAATCTGCCTCTGTGAC